CAGGAGGGTTTTTTTTTTTTTTTCCAGCATTCCAATGTTTTTTTCTTTATGATTCCAAGAGGATATGAACCACTGTCCCTGCTAAACTTCCTGAAAATGGAGCCAAGCAAGTAGAAATATGTTGACATTATAGAACTTATTCCATGAAAAGAAAATAATTCCACTTAACATCCCTCCAAATCAGGAAAGCACTTAAGCACAGATAAGACTTTATTTGCGATAACCTGAAAGTTAATCACACACTCACGCACTTTATGCTCTTGCCATAAACCTTAACACTGTCCCCTGGCCATGTACAAGGTTTAGAGGCTCCATTATGTAGAGAAGAACAGTTTGACATTTGTCTGAGCAACGGGAGTGATGGAGCATGGAAGCGTGCTTGGGGACCCAGAGCCAATATTCAGGAGTGTGTTTGTGGCAGATGGGGAGAAAGATGCAGCAGGGAGAGGGCTGACCAGCACGGGGTAGCCTGCTTGCAGCCAATACTGTCCTGGTGTGGTGAGGGAAAAAGTGATGCAGAATAACCGAATAACCTGCCTGGGCAGCATCAGCCCTTTTCAGCTTCATTCTGCCTCTTGCTGTAGCACAGCATCCCCCTCCAGGCACTGAGCCCCAGGGGCTGCACTGCGAAGCTCAGCTTTTTAGCTTTTTTATCTTTTCCTCCATTTTCCTGCAGGAGCAGCAGCTGCCACAGCCACAGAAATGGCTGGCACCAGGACCTGGCCACCTTGCTGATAGCATCCCAGAGGGGTTTTTCCTCTGGACTCATTTCAGCTGGGCTGCATGGTCTGAAAGCCCACCAGGACCTGGAACTGGGATGCTTGCTTAGTGTCATCCTGAAAGAAACAACTCATGTGCTTGATGACTGCTCTGTGATAAAAAGAATTGCATGAGTGGCCATAGGCAGGAACCTGGCTTAAAATTCCTGATAAAATGAAAACACTAAAGTAGAAGCACCTCTAGCTCCTTAGAGAAACAGAGAGAAAGACAGACACATACAAGTGCATCTTCAGAGATCTTAAGCTATATTCCCACCCTGTGTTTCCTTTTTGAAGTCCCTGAATTGCAACCTCAGGCATCTAAGAGACGTACGTAAATTTTGGGACCTTAAGTGAGTCTTTCATGTTTCCCATCATACTGAACCAGTCAGAGGTGTGAGCTTTAAGCTCAGACTCACAACTGCCTGAGACAGAACTTTTTAAAATCAGCTTTAATTTTTTTCAGACACTAGACTTTTTCAGAGACCAAACCACCACATAAAGAAATAGAAAGTGAAATGTAGGGCTCAGTGTTTTCAATGTTAATAAAATTTCCAAAAGCTTTCTTAGAATTCCCAAAAAAGAATGAAAATTGATCTGAATTTCTAAGAGCAACAGTTGTACATTCTCAAGATCTCAAGTTTTTTTTTTTAACATTTTGTCTGATACAAGTAACATCTTAAGGCTTTGAATAAACCAAATCACATTTATAGTAACAGGCTGCAGTGTTGACAACTACATGTTTAATCATGCACTTGGAGTGTTCTGATAGGTCTCTGCATTTAAAATAAATAAATATCATTTTGTGGAATTAAGAACTAATTTAGAAAACAAGACTTTTCATTATTCTTTTCTCAAAGCATATTGATACTGTATATTATTGGTTCGCATTCTTAAGAATTCTAGTTTGAATAAATAAAACTTTAAAAGACTGTTTTAAAAAATAGCCCTCTTAAAACTAGCTCTTCTCCACAAAGTTCTTGATGCACTTAATTAACATAATGAAATGGCCAATAGCTAAAAATATGCTGATTTTTATTTCAAAGGTGTCTTTGTGCTACTGGAATGCAAAGCACTTTTGAAAATCTGTAACTGTTATTTTTAAAAAGATGTGGAAAATGAAACATATTCATTTACTGATGAAATCAAGAATAAATGCATTCAAATTTGTAACACTTCCATAATAAATAAGCTTACACTATATCCTAGCATATGATTAGTTCTGTGAAGACCAGATAATCTAAAATTCCCATCATAAAGCAAGCCAAATCAAGCCAAATACATTTAGTTATACTTAAGAGTACATATTTTTGGTATACTATATAACATCAATAGGCACAGTACTATAAAGAATTTTCTTTATTAAACTTACTTGAAAATATCATAATATAAGGAGAACAAATTACATATTATGCTATGGATTGGTTTGTTTACTCTTTCTTATTAAAATATTTGCTTTCACTTGCATACAGACTTTTAGCAAAAGCTGATGGCTCATTATAATTCTGTCATTTCATTGTCAATGGGCTGTGTTGACTTACAAAACATTTGTATTCATTATATGCTATGTGAAATGACAGGCTGCAACACAAAGCCTGAGTTTTGACATATGCATATGGAGTTCACTATGCTTTCAATGTAGGTATTTAAATGCAAAATGTAGCCATTTAATAGGTTTGTAAATTTTATTTTGGTATTTCAGGATTAGTTGTAACACAGAATTTAAAATTTTGCCTCTTTGGTTCAAGACTGAATTTCTGACCAAGTTGCTCTACAAGGGCAAGGCTGGATGTAGAGTCACCTCTGAATATTCTGTCAGGTCACTGCACAAATGGTTGCTGCATTTACAAATCAACATTGATCTGCAGTCAAAGCTATGACATCTTATATTCTCTCAATAACACTTATCTTCTTGTAAATAAAAGTACTGATAAAGCCCTACCAGCTTAACTCCTTAGAAAAAACAACAACAACAACAACAACAAAAACAATTTGCAGGCTAATGTGTTCCTTAAATGTTCTGTATTTAATGCCCAATTATAAAACTCTCAGTGATGAATGCAGGTGCTCTACAAACTGAATTCTTGACAGAGAGGTTCAGGATACCCTGGCAGATTTCCAAAAGTTCATGTCATTAACTCCATTCTGCACAATGAGCCTTTTTGTTGAAATTTTTTGTGAGGGGGCTTTCATATAATAGAATTCCTTCATCTACAGAAATTTGCAATGGCATATTTTGTGCTGGTTTGGGTAAATGTTACGCTCATTCAAGCACATCTCCTAAACACCCCTCAGATTCAGTGATGCAACTGCACATCACATGAACAGTTGAAGGGAAAACATTCAACCGGCAGCTGACCAGTTTCAGATTCCGCTACTGCCAGCAGAGGTGGTAGCACAGGGCCACACTGCTGTGACAGCTGAATGCCACAGCAATGCACTGAAGTGGAGGAGATTATTTGGGAGCACTGAGAACTGTCATTAAAAGATATCAGGCTTCTCTTTTCAGCACTGTCAATGCTCTGCCAAAATTTGTGTTTCCAGTATATGCTTTCTAGACAAGCACAGTGCCTGAATTACCATTGTTAAATCTCTTGAACTGTTACAGCTTTAGATTCAAAATATCCAGGGTTTGTGTCCAAGCTCAAGATCCTATAGACAGCCATGGTAGTTTCATCTGTCCTTCAGATGTGACCACCTTATTTAGGGACAATCCTTATGAAAAAAATCATGATGGTGTCTATGAAAACATTGGATTTTGATGCCACTTAGAGTATTTAATAGCTGGATTGTTACATCATTCAAATGAATTTAGGATGGAAAATAAATGTATAGCCCTTGGAGGTGTACTAATAGGAAGTACGTGTAGACCAGAAGACCTTTGAAAGTGATACAACAGTTCCCCTCCCCCAGATATTTTCAGATTATTTGGAACTAGTATCAGATTAGATCAGCTATACTACAAAACAATGTTACTCTCACACATGTAAATCCAAATATTTCTAATGCAAAGCAAAAAAACAGAGACATGATTTGCTCCTTAATTTCATTAATCTTTTGTCCATGCTTTTCTGTTTGAATTGTTCCCATTTGGAGAAGCTCTCCTCTGGCTTCACTTTTTAAGTATTAATCATCTTAACACGTAGAAAGGGATGTGATAGAATTAGTCTTCCTGCTAAACAAGGATGATGGTGGCCTTATCTTGTAAATGCTACTAAAAAGTCTAAATGTAAGGGAAAAAAAAGGTACTTTTAAATTCAATACAATAAAAAGAAATCCCAAAACTACTCCTGAAAATATATAACTTTGTTTCCATCATCTTAATTTGTGTGTGTCATAGCACAAAATTAAATTATATTATAAAATTGCAATTAAACGAAGTTATTAATTTTAAACTTAGAAGTCCTTTATATTTCATCATTAAATTATACTCTGAAACTAGTACTTGATCCAGAGTGATGTAAAGGTCTTAAAAAACAAAGAAATGAACAAAGAATGCATTCTGTAATGCATTCTTTATAGCTTATTCAATTTATCCCTGTCTTATTATCAATATATATACATAAAATAACTTATTAAGAATTCAAATGGTAAAATAATTTTTCAAGCATAATGAAAAACATCTATTTGTTGAGAGTTTAAATGAAACATAAGTTCTGCCTATGATCTGAAATCAAGGTTAGCCATGGAAACAACGTATTAATTGAGTTGTCTGAAACAATTTCAAACTCTTGTGAACAAAAACTGTTAGATTTACAGTATTTAATTCTTAACAAAAAAGGGAGGAAATAAATAGATGTCACACTATTGTTTGTACTTGCACTTAATTTATAATTAAAATTAAATTCATATGCCATTATTTTTACTTGAAGAAGAGGGACATATCCATGAAAAAGTGTTTTTTCTTTTTGTGGCTTGTTTGTTTTATTTTGTTTTTAATGTATCAGACCAGTATGGCTATATGTTTGCTGTTGTTACTTTTAGATTAAGAGAACTAAATGGAAAAAGTAGCATGATTCCATGTATGAACACAAGTATGGATTTACAACAGTGCTTAAAGTGCTTTCTTATTTGAGGAGGTACTCACACAAATGTCTTTTCATGCTTATCTCCTTTGTCACCATGTACTGTATGCTTGCTCTCATTTATAATATAATGAAAGGGCATTATGTTCATACTCAGAGTTTAGTATATTGTCATTAGAAAACATCTGAAAAGAGGAAAATGACAATTCTATTTGTGTATTATTACAGCAATTCGAAAATTTTATTAAACACTCAAGTGCTTCATTTCGCCATTTATTCCTTTGCTTCCAACGTTGCTTAAAGCACTATGTAAGTACAAATAGATAATACTAAAAGCATATCCATCCTATTGTGGGGTTTTGACTAGGATTATTTACTGATGTCTTGCAGAACCGAGATGAAATTATGATCCCACGTGACCATTTATCTGCTGATGCTGCAAGATGTCTTGCCTCCAGGATTGGTTTCCACATACATGGTTCACCAAAGGTCTAAATCTTATGAATATTTATACATTTTTATGTCTTGTTGTTAAGTGGCAGTGCTGTCACGGGGGATGTCAAGTAGAATACTTTAATTTGCCAGTACCAGAAGTTGTGGGAGCAGCAGAAGCTGTGGCTTGGCTGCCTACATACAAAGGGTCCAAACAAGCCACTTTGGCTGCAAAGAATGAGTGGATACAGTGAAGGACTGCAAACAGGTTAGAAAACTCCAGCTCCTGGAAGTGAGAAAAAAAAAAAATTAAACATGAAATGGAAAAACACCCCATAAGCATATAACTAGGAATGAACCACTATTACAACAGCAATAATTTTAATATCTTGATGCAATTCTGCTGATGAGCCTTACAATTCTCCATTACAGGGACTTAGACATTGAAAATGGAACATTCTGTAAATAATTGCTTGGAGGCTAAGATGGACAAATTTCTGGATTAAGTGCCTCATAGAAATATGAGATCCTACTAGCTAAAGGGGAAAGAAAGTGACACTATATAATTTTTATTTTGCTCAGGTTAATGCACACCTGGCGCCTTTGCAGGTTAATTTAGGCAGAAACCTTATGGCTGTGCTGTAACAGTCTGCACACCTCTGGACTACTACTATTTAACCATAAAAATTAATTATGTTGAGTGCCATATATATTACATTTGTTCATCATGTCTCTTCACAGTATTAATCAGCCATTAAATCACACAAACAGCTATTTTCTTACCTGATTCTTTAATATATATATTAAAAAAGAGAGGATATATTTTCAAAATATGCTACTATCACTCAGTGATAATTCAGATTTGTTATTGGGCCAAAAAAGGAACATACTCCATGTTTTAAATTTATTAGGAATATTATAAAAATTCCTGATTTTTCTGCTTCAATTTACATTTCTTTATAGCTTGCTCAGCATGTGATTAGACTAGCTGGGACTTTTTTAGACCCCACTAGAGAGAAAATAAATAAAAATACATTTTTTTCACATATATAAATTTGCTCCTTTATGTCCAATTGACTTTATCTGATCATTTTTTTTTAGGTTTTTTTCAGTATGTGTTTTTGAAGCTGGTATTTAATCAATAAATATCTGTTGTATTTTAATCAATTACTGAGGTACTTCAATACCTATAAGTCTAGGGAAAGCAGTACAGATTTTACATTTCTGCTTTGATTCACTGCCCATACAGATTTTTTCATTGCAACATGAAACCAATAATTGCTATCTGTGGTATATTCTACTTGTCTGTCTGTCTAACATTGGTATTTCCAGGCTATATGGTGCCAGGATTTTGCTTTTATTGTTTAGAAGATTATTGAAAATGTTGTACATTCAACAAAAATTGCTAAATCCCTCAAATGACATCAACCTGCAATTTTCTGCTTCTTGAGAAAAAATGGAAGACATTGCTTCATGGAATGCATGGAGACATTCACAAAGCCTTCATGGGTGAGGGACAACAGTGTGAAAGCAGACAGCTGGATGTGCAGTGTCCAGTGATGCACTGAATGGGTGAGGCTTTGTTCAGGTCTCCTACAGCCTCAGCAGATGTCCTTCAGACATGCTCAGAAACAAACTGATGACATCCCATGGGGTCCCCTGATGACCAATTCTCAATAAAGAAGATACAACTTATGCCAAGTTTTACAAACCTGCCAGCTGTGTCTATATAAAAAATTAATCCATTTAGAGACATTCTCAGTTTTAAATCCAAAGAGGATGGAAATTTTATCACTATACCTCCCTCAAATTTTAAAATAAGAGAATTTATCATAAATAAGAAAACAATGGTCATTCAAAGATGAGGAATCAAGGAATTATGGCAGCTATTTCAGAATAACAACTATGAGTCATTGGAATTAAGTTACTTTTCAGTTAACTTAATTTTATTAATTTTTTTGTGTACCTTTTTAGTACTATAAAAACACACCGGAAGCTTAAGATAAGGGGATAAATATTTAGTGGAACCGTGAAATATTTTAATATTTTTAATATCAATTGCATGTATTATCTGTAGAAAGACTACAGTTCCCCCTATGTCTCAACAAGATAACCATATCAAAACAAATGCTACAGCTTGAGAATTGTTCAAGTCAATTAGGCAACTCTACAAGCTAAACGTTGTAACTATCATTATTACAGCTACTGGGCACTGAATTTCCACAGTGCATGAGTATAATTATTTCCAAGAGTTATCACAGGTTTCTGCAATAGTAACACATCAGGAGTATCCACTGCTCAATTGACCATCAAGGGAAATGGGTGAGGCCACAGTACAGCCTCTGAAGGTCCCACTTGGTAACTATTATCAATAGTAATGACACAACATGGAAATTACCTTGACTGCAAAGAAGAGCACTGAGAAGTCAGCAAAGGCTCAGTTATTATTTGCAATGAAGCACTATTCCTATTTCAATGAAAACATGCATTTTTAACTGGAAATTAAAGCAATGTGAAGCACAGTAGGCTGACTGGTGTGTGGCAAGTACATGCGGGTCTGATTAATGGCTGCGACTCAGTTCCCAGAAGCCTGATTGATGGGAACAGGACTTTATCAGGGACAACACTTTTCAGGCAGATTAGCTTAATCACAAGAAACCTTAACAAACAGATACAACTTCATGTAGGGCTGCTGACAGAAAAAGCATGCCCTCACTTCCGCTGGGAACTTGCCCTTTTAGGTGTCTCCAGGCTGGCACTACTGCTGGCAGACAGAGCGGAACCCTCAGGCTCTTGTGCACCCCCAGCCACCCTGGTTGTTTTTGTGCACACTTTGTCCTCCACCGTACTTTTATCTGAATACACTTTCCTCTAGGCAGGATAGTGTGTACTGCACACATAGTACAGGTGAAGTTTCAAGAGAACAAACAGACAAACCCTAAGAAACCTGAAAAAATATGCATTATTAAGCCATTGAAGTTGATATCAGTAGGGAAAGTCACATGCTCTGAATCCTCCAAAAAAGCAAAGAAATCCTAATTTAAGCCACACCTACTTGTCCATGCACAAGTACACAATTTACTATTACAATTTCCAGACTGTTGCCTGTACACCTTACCTAAGATCCTACTCTCCCAGCAATATCAGTGTACCCTCTGCTCTTCAAATTGTCTTTCTAAGCTGTTTCTTGATTAAACTGCTCTCCCCCTACATTGCTGTCATTGTACCAGATTGTTAATCTGAACATCTGCAGTTCCTGCTGAGGACAATGTAAGTGGGCAAAAAGGCATGTGAGAAAGATGCAGTGACTGAAAATGTCAGAAGGATATTGGAATTCTAGTAGCCTTTCACAAAGGAAGTCTGGATTGAAAAGACAGAGAAAGAAAGAGAAAAAAAGAGTTTTCCCAAAAGAAAAGAAGCAAACTCCAGCAATCTCTTATTGCATTGTATTATACATATATTATGTAGTATGATACAACTACATAAATGATGCATTTACAAAATCCAGCAATTGTATGTTTTGAAGTACCCATGATATATTTTTAAAAAGTCTCCTCTTTCATCCATATATAAACAGCTGATAAAAGAATATGCTAGCTCATCAAAAGTAGAGTTACAGTGTCTTTCTATATTTACACAGAATCTAATCTAAAATAGATATCAGACAAATAATCCATGTGCAAGACACTGGGAAACAGAAACCAACACAAGTCAGAAATACGAATACAAAAATTCAGTAACTGCAACTGAGCAATCACTCTATAAAAATCTTAAGGCTGTATACTTATAACCCATTTAAAGACAATACTCTAAATGTGAAGAGCACTGTGGTGCTCACTGAAAAACCCTCAAGGCTAAGAACAAGGATTAATTTAAAATTGGATTTTGGAGAATGGACTTGAAATGAGCAGAAATGTCAGCCTGGAAGATGTTGCAAGCACCCATCAAGTCACCTTGCAATGGTAGGAAGTGGGTATTTTGTTCATAGTAATGCGATCAGTAGTCATTCAGGATATTTAGATTAGATTTCTTTACAAGATCATTTCAAGTACTATTAATTTGCATTAATTAATACTAAGATAGTATTAATAATGAGATTAATGTAAAATCATTGAAGTTAAATTTTTTTCTTTGCTGATACCATATTTGTGCCTTCTTTGGTTTTCCATATTCAAATAGATGAAGACAATTGACTGGACCTTCATCTTGATAAACTTATTTTTGCACCCACTTCAGTTTTGTACTGCTCAGCTTAGGAGTTCAGCCAATCTGTGAACAAAAGCTCACCTGATGCAGCACAGCAATGTGGCTTTGCCTGAGTTTTTCTAAGAGTACTGTTGTGCTGCAAGCTGGGGAGGTGAAAGCACAGACTGAAGCGTAGCTTTGAATCACACATGTTTTATCAAGCATAGAGAGACCCTCAGTTCCCAGCTTGGTAAAAATTCAATAATGTAATAAGATACTGATTTTTATACACATCATTTAGTCCTATGTTTGGAGGCATATATTCATCTCAAAACAGGAACTCAAAGATTTAAGGTACTCATCTGTTTTGTCAGAAAAGTCTATTACTTAGGTTGTATTGAAGGTCACACCATTCTGAGTTTATTATAGTCCTTAGATAGTGTTTCACCTCCAGAAGCTGCTGTGATACTACTGAGACACTTGTGGATCATTAAACTATAGCTAAACAAACAGGTAAACTGATAAGTAACTAGATAGGAACGTCTAAGAGAAACCCTTTTGGGCCTTACAGATGCAGAGAAAGCTTTGCCCTCCTGTGCTTAGTTTTGTTTTTGTTTTTTTTTTTTTTTTTTTTAACCAAAGCCAAACAGCTCAGTAAGAACAAATACAGGGACACATTGATCCACATTCTGTCAAGGTGACAGCTCTCTTTTGTAGCTCTCACTCATAAAAATTTTGTCTCACTGAGAAAAATTGTGCAATATCTCCTGCTGAGTGACAGCTGGGAAATAACCTACAGATTGGAATGTCTAAGGGGTATCAGTGATTAATGCTGCCCTTAAGTGGTTTTCTTGTCAGAAACCACTTAGACCTTGCCTTAGATACCTTTTAAGTAAGGTGTTTGCTTTCAGACACCCTGCCAGAGACCCACTGGTATGACCTGTGGTAATTATTGTTCAGATTTTTAGACTGGAACTGCTTAAATCCATGAGGAAGCACTTTTATTTTACATTATATATCTTTACAATAACATAATTTCACTTAGAGAGAAGCCAAACAAAAGCATGAGTACAACGCCTCTACAGAAAAAAAAAAGGCAGTATTTGAAATGTTTAAATACCTAAAATTATTTTAAAGCTGAAAAGAACAATACTGGTAAATAAGTTAAACTGTAACAAAATCCATAGCACATGCTGTATGTCTCAAGGCATGCCATTTTGAATTTTTTAAGTCAGGCATGAAGCACACTAGAAAAAATGTTGACAGTATCATCAAAATCTTAGCTATTCAGTGTCAGTGAAGGACTGTCTTTCACTTAGGAATATGAACTCTGGTGGCAAGTGTTTTTTCCCAAAAACAACAACAAAAAAAAAGCTAACTGATGAATGCACGTGGCGTGGACTTACTCCAAAATGCATTTTTCTTAGATTTTTCTAACATTAACATTGATATCTCAGTATATTCCACCAGAATACAGAAAAGGTGCTAAAAAATTATGAAGATAGTATGATAAAATTTAAAATGCTGATGCATACTTATTTTTTCCCAATAAATGTGTATCTAAAAGTTGGAACACATTTCTAGAATAATAACAAAATTATCTAAGTTTGGATCAAAATTCAATAGATGAGAATTTTGACACTCCTGATTCTGCACATCGTGAATAAGTGCTCTAATGCTAAAGGGTATTAGCACAGAGGTTCATCTTGCCATAATCACACACATCTGGGAAAGCATGAGATACACAAAATGTTCTGCATTATATATGAAGGAAGACGGGAAGAATTTTGTTTTGATATCTCATATTTTTCTGTGAAGTTATTATATAAAATCATAGAATCATTTAGGTTGAATAGGACGTTTATTGAGTTCAATGGTTAATCCAGCACCATCAAATCCACTACTAAACCATGTCCCCAAGTGCCACATGTACATATCGACATCATCCCTTTGGGGATGGTGATTCTGCCACTTCCCTGAGCAGCCTGCTCCAATGATTGGCAACCCTCCTGTTGAATATATTTTCCTAGCATCCAACCTATACCTCCCCTGGCGCACCTTGAGGCCATTTCATGTTGTCCAATTGCTTGCTGCTTATGAGAACAGGCTGACCCCACCTGCTATAATCTCCTTTTAAGCAGCTGTAGAGAGCAATGAGATTCCTCCTGAGCCTCCTTCACTCCAGGCTAGACAACCCCAGCTCCATCAGTTGCTCCTCATCAGACTTGTGTTCCAGACCCTTCACCAACTCTCTTTCCCTTTTCTGGACTCATTTCACCACCTTAATGTCTTTCTTTTAGTGAGTGGCCTAAAACTGAATACAGGATTTGCGATGTCTGGAAAGTTACCTGCTACGCCCTGCTTTCGCAGGGCTGCTTGGGAATAAGCAAGTGAAGAGCCCTAATACATTGGTGCAATGGCTCCTCAATTTTTTGGTTTTATTCTCTGCTGTGTTCTCCTTTAACTACATTCTGATTACTCCCCCTGTATTATAACTTGGGGAAAAAAAAGAATAGAATCATAAAGAAAATGCTGCTGCAATGGGTCTCCATGCCAGCTGCAAAACAGGTGATGATAGCTGTGGCATGAATATTCATCACAACCTTTAACAGATGTTTTACAAAATTTCCATCCTCTGATTTCAAATGAAGTCTGCATACAGTATTAATGAAATCTGGCTTTACAAATATTTCTGAAAATCTGATTAACATTTGTTAATGACTCAACAGTTCCACAAATAGCTATACTTCTGACTCAGGAATGTAAAGCAAGAAAATAGAGGCTAGACTGTACCACCTCTCCTTATGACGAATACTGCTTTAAATCTATGAAAGCTTTAAAGGATACAGAAGGCGATTATCCACAAAATTGTAAAGTAACCAGCATTGAAAATACATGACCCAATAACCTTCACATTCATTTTACAGACACATTTATCTACATTTCATAGACTAAGCAACATACTTAATATGTAAACAAATTGGAATGGATAGAAGTGCTCATTATAAATGCCACAGCACCTTCCAAACAGAATATAACCTGACATCTTTGCATATAGCTGATATGCTTTGCTCACCATGAAAATTAATTAAAATAAACAAATTTTAATTTCAAAAATGAGTAATGTGAAAGTAAATTCATAGTAAAGAGCAGCAACCAGGGAACAAGACAGCATATTAATAAGCATGCTAGCAGGTTTGTATAATACTCTGGCTTCATAAGGTAGCATTTCTACCTTAATAAAAGTTTGGCAGAATTTTCTAGAACTCAATTGGAGTGGAAATAACAATAGGTACAATAAAGGCACAGGATACCTCTAAGGCTTATGTATGTCCAACATACTTATGTATCTTTAAGTGATTTATATGACAGATATAATTTAAAACATTAAAAACCCTTAATTTTTTTTCAAAATTGTATTTTATTTTTGGCTTTATTTTTTTTAAATTTAATTCAGTATTAAAAATATATTCTAGTTTTACCAGTTAAAAAACAAACAAAACAAAGCAAACAACAAAAAAAACCAAAACCAAAACCAAAACCAAAACAAACAAAAACAAAAAAAAAAAACCCACAAAAAAACCAAACAAACAAACAAAAAAAAACCCCAAAAAAACAAACCCCAAAACACAACCAAAATCCCCAAACACCCCAACAGTGCATCATTCTTGGACTCCTATGTCTTTTGTTAGTGCTAAAATAATGTGTTAATACAACAGCAATAGCAGACAGATATTAGAAAAATAATGATGACTTTCATCCTTCATCTGTACATAAGAGCAGGATTTTACAATTACTTTCTTAAGAGAAAATCATGCTCACAACATTAGGTTAAACTGTATTGTCTTATTAGAGCTGAAAAAATTTGGCTTTATTTTTTTTAAATTTAATTCAGTATTAAAAATATATTCTAGTTTTACCAGTTAAAAAACAAACAAAACAAAGCAAACAACAAAAAAAACCAAAACCAAAAAAAATATCTCTGAAGGAAATCAGAAATAAGAAAGTATCTATCTTTGAGATGCAGCAGAACATTGAAGGTATCAGAACCATGGTCCTCACATTTTACTGCTGTTGATTTAATAGGAACTCTTACATACCTTTATTTTACTGAGTAAAACTCTCAAAATCAAGTAAATCGCTGCTGGGTAGAAAACAATTAACATCAAGCATAAAGAGACATGGAGGAAGATGCTTAATGTAGATATTGGCATTTAAACACATAACTATCCCCAAAACCATGCATTTTTTTCCTTTACATATTTTATAATACCCTACATATTTGCAAACTTTTCTCTGAAATGGTCAGGTAAAACAGTATAGAAAATGCTTTGAAAGCAAAGCTTAGACATCAACAAGAAACTAGTTTTTAGGTTTACACTAAAATTTAGATCCTAGTCAAAAAAGAACTTTGACCCAGACTCTAAGGCAGTTACAACCATCGCAGACCTTGGGAAGACCACTTCTCACAAACATTGGACGTTAAATGCCTTTATTCTCAAAAGACATAAATTGAAGTAAGCTTGTCTCTCACAGCTACTGTTTTCATGAATTAACTCTTGAATCAAAAGCACAGCTGGAAATACAACTTTTCTAATTTTGCATTAGACACAGACACTTCAGCCTTGTTGGGAAATATGTATTTAATCCACACTTTTTTTTTTTTTTCTCTGAGAATAAAAACAGATTTTCAACCTTTGCTGAGTTTTGTTTCCAGGTTGACTTAGGGATATATTTTTCCACCATTTCTTCATGATACAATTACAGGGCAAAAAACACAAGCTCTCAAATAGCTTTATCACAATGAGAAAGAGGAGAGTTGGAAAACATCCCTAAACCCATATATACCATACATCCTTATTTTATTATTTTTAAATCTAGTTGCACATTCCAAAAAACTTTCAACTAGATGAAAGTAATTTGTTCAGTTTTCTTCAATTTCATTGGTTTTCTTTTCATTTTTTATGCATTGATCTAATATTTCCAAGTAACTTAGTTTACTATGCTTCCCCACTCCCCTAGCTGCTTTGAAAATTGTATATTGCCTTTATATAAACAATGTATTGTTTTTACCTTTGCTTCGATTTGTTTAGTATCTTGGTTTTGGAACAAAAATTTGATTTTGCTCTTCCCATCATCTGAAGAACCTTTGAGCTGGGAAAACTTGTACCTCCAAAGCACAGCCTAAAGGGAAAAAAAACCAAACCAAAATATAAAAAATCATACACAAGTAAGTCAATGTAGTTGTCATTGAAAATTGTATTAGAAATAGCTGATCTCCTTCCAAGTAAAATTTTAACACCTCTGTGGTACATAATTAAATAAATGTAGTGTTCTGTGGTCAGATGTTTCTTCATTCGTATAGATATATTATACTTTGCCAGTGCTCGAATAACACCTGTCAGACTACATTTGTGAAATTTACGCTGAAACTCCTTTATCTATATTTAGTATTTAAAAAAAAGACAAGGATTTTTTTCCACTGATGATCTGTGGATTCCCTACTCTATCTGAAGTGTTTGTCACTAGACTATACAAGACCCCTTGTTCCATACTAAAAAAGTCTAGTCTTAACATAAAGACCATATCATAGTAAAAAAAAAAAATCTCTATTTTTAAAAGATAAAATAACAAAAGAAATTTCTTTAAGGAGAAAATATTTTGAGTTTATTTATGAGAGCTCTAGTGAGGGATTTGAGCAAATCATTAATTCTAAATGTATCAGTGGCCTTTCAATTATGTTATTAATTGCATTGTATCTTGTTGAAAAAGACATAATGCCTTATAAAATAAATATACAATTAATAAAATGTACAGATGTCTAGCAAAACATCTCTTTAAAAAATGATATCTAGTGTGGATTTATGAAGAAAAAAATTTTAAACTACTTTGCTTAAAAATGAAAAATATCTATTTTTGTTGTCCTTTCAACCTCATCTAAAGATATCCCACACCATCCAGATATTTTGGATTTTTAAAATGTTTCATTGTGATTCCAATAGTATTCCACATAATTAGGAGGTCATCATCACTTACATTGTGCTACTGCTTTGATGAACATTGATTTCACAGGCATCAGACAACACAGGAACTTAAGGCAACACTTTTCTATAACGGTTTGTAAATTACTCTCTCTCAGTGGTGTAGGACAACACTTTCATCTGTGCCCTTGGTCTTTATCTATGAATGGCTTACTATCTACTGGGAATTAAACAGAATATGGGGGAGGTAAAATTTTTAACTGTCCTAAATCTATGCAGGCTCCTTCGCTTCAGGATGTGTTGGTCTCTTTATGACTGGCAAAAAATCACTACCCTGCACCAAGCTGAATAAAGTTTGTTGTGTTTGTCTTAGCAACCTAATGACAAAAGAAACCACAAGGACAACATCTTAACTGTGCACCATACACAAAGCAAGTGCTAGAATTTTTCTCTACAATTGTCTCTTTAGAGTTGCCCCTTCCAGATTAAAAGAAAGAACCCTAGTCTCAGCACCACTTTCATTCTTTGTGTGTATGTGATAGGTGAGCTCCCATCTGCCATAAACAGAGTTAAGAACATTCTGTTTCACATAAACTACAGGAATTTGGCAGCTTATGTGAAAATATATCCTATTTGTTTCAAATGTTGTCCTACTGAGCCTACCAATCTGTGCTACAGAAAATATAATAGCTTCCCTCATTTCTATGTGTGTGAAATTCCTTTGATGTTGTTTGACCAAAGACGTTTATTTATATTGTACAAATAGTGAGGTTAAAAAAAAAAAAAAACAAAAAAACAAAACAACAAAAATACTAAGCAAAACAATCCAGTATATAACATCATTCAGCTGGCTATATTCCTACCTGCTTTGTAAACTCCTTTTTATTTTACAGATCTATGATATCTTGTCAGAAGATCAAGATCATTGCCTTTCTGCAGGGACAGAAAATCTACTTAAGTATGTCATTTCCTGGATGAGAAATGTAAAGGGCACTGATTGTCTCTTTATCTCAGGAGAAAACAATCAAAGCAATCAGCTATCATCTTTCTCTTCTCTGATGATATATGGAGAGGCCGGGAGAGAGATGCACCTTTAACAAGGACCCTTAGATGTGCCGGCAAAATCCCAGGGTACCTGGCCTTATTCCCAGTCAGACTAAGTTTGAATGAAGATGAAGGATGTATAGAACTGAGGTACTTTGACATTTCCATGCTTTGCCATGTACTTCATTCCCATTCAGAGGAAAGAGAACGACAGTCACACCAAATCACAGGCATGACTCAGGAACACACTTCAATTTATGCATAACATTGGTTTTGGAGACTACTACTTAGCTGGGGCTCTTACTTAAGAACACTGCAAAATCAGGTCTATAGCGTGGAGAGAACTAATCCCAACAAAACTGCATTTCAACATCAAGATACTAAAACAAGCTCCTAGAACTGACAGTCTCTGCAGAGACAATTAAATACTCTTCATCTAAAGCATAAGGAGTAGAAATGCTATTGACAATGCATTAAATGATTCCCACATGAAAGAATTATCTGCTCCTTTTGAGTGATCTTCAACAAATTACACACACTTAAAATGGCAAGAATTGGTTCGTTAGGGTAGAGTCTGGATGTGTGTTTACTTCAATATACTATACTACATTAAAAGTGTAACAGATAGCTTAAACCACTTAAACTAGAAGTTCAAATTCTAGATAGCAAAAGTTGAGTAAATTAGTTAATTATATGCCCAGTAAGACCCATTTAAATCCTTTCTCCTGCCAAAGAGGCTGAAGTGCTGCCCCGTGTAGCCAGAACTGCACATTTTGTATGCATAGCATGTCTATAATGGATACAGAATGCTATGACTGCATACACATTGCTTAAAATAAAGTATCTTGGGGATCACTGGATTAATTTCTCTGGTTGCATATGTTCTGAGTGTGGTTCATTTAATTTTCATTGCTGCAAAATGCATAAGCAGTGAACAGGGACCAGACCTATCCTTTTTCAATGACTACTTTATAGTGCCACAGTAAGAAAGGAGAGAGCAGACCCATTCACCTGAGCACCAGTTTCACACAGATGTGAAACTACAGCAGTGACATTAACACAAGAGAAAGAGAGTTTCATGTGTTGTATTTCATGATCCTATGGGCTGACTTCAGTCTTACAGGGTTCACTGTGGTTATTCTTCCAAATTCTATTTTTAAAGGCTAATTCTCCTGCATTAGGTATAGGTATCCTTGGGAATACTGATCTGCACCACTGTCACAGGCCTTATTTTTTAATGCTTTTGAATATCAGAGTTCTTTGCAACCCTTTGTTGAATGGTTGCTTCAGAAAGTTAACATAGGCTGTCATAATTTTGTATAAATATATTTATGTATACATATTGACTTTTAACCAGTAAGTACACTTGTAAAACATGCTGTCTTTTTTGAAAATTGTTGAACACCTAAATGTGTGTCACATAAAATTTTTCTAAATCAGTTTTTAGGAATTATGAACTATAAACAGAAGTACTTACTGGTTTGAAGGTGCAATGTTACTGAGCTCAACACTCATAGGGCTACTTTGAGCTGACAAAAACAGCTTGTTCTCTTCAAGCAGTTCCCTCAGTAACTGTGAATAACCTGCATCACTGAGAATATTTTACAGGTCTATATACAGCATTTATAGGAAGCAATAAATTTTTGTTTGCCCTAAAATAGATTTGACAGGTGGGCCAGGTACCAATTCCTTTTAACGTACAAATTGCAACCAAATTAAAAAATATTCTCCTGTATACAGTGGCATCAGCTACTCTTGAGGATCCTGACACACCTTTCAAGTCATGGCACATAACATTATGATACCTTGAAGGAGAACTCCAGATGCACTATTTATTGCTTCTCAATGAATGAGAGAAAAGTGAAGTCTCATTTAATGAGAGGTAGAATTTAGAAACAACAGCAAGCAGTCCAATTCAGCAAGTGGGGACAAAGGCATACACTGAAAATACCACCAGTGCCACAATTTGCACAGTCCCAGTGTGGCCACAGAAAATCTGACATAATTAATCCATGGCTTGAAAAATGCACTGTAAGAAGACAATCTCTTTGAACAAATACAGTATGTATCATGCATAAAATTGAAAACAACCAATAAGATATAAGTCCTTTTTCCAATTATTATTCATATATTGCTTAGGCTGCCTTTTGCATTTTACACCATTTAATAAAATTAACTTCAAAGAATACCAGAATGCAATGCACACAAACTGTGCAGACAAGCTGACAAATTAGATTTAAGACTCCTCTTGAGATGTTATTAAATTATTGTAATAACAAATCATCAAAAAGCAAAATCCTGTATTCACTGAATTAGCAGGATTTTTTTTTTCCTGTGACGTATCTGGGACCAAGATTCTTCACCAATACTTTTTAATGAGAAATATTTTATTTATAAGTAATCATCTAGGACTCATTTGTGCTAGTCTTTCCAAACAAATTACTGCCTATTATCTTCTGCTAGTGTTATTCTACTAAAATTAAAAAGAATGCTCTCTGCCTGCATATTTTTATTTTAGAGTTGGTACTTAAATGCAACATACAAATGACACATGGAAGAAAAGCTATTGACTTGTCTATACTTGTAATACAGCCGTACAAATGAAGACAATTATTATTGTTTCTATTCTTACCAATAGTGCTAGATCTAGAACACATATTCTTAAAGGCACCTTAGAAAATACTTTTGTAATCATATTATATGTCAGTTTGCTACTCATTCCCAGAATCTTGGACTAATCCACATACAATTTTGGTGAGATGACATCAAACAAAATCACTTTCCATCTAGGTAATGACATCAGAAATGTAACTATCTTTGTTTGGGCTATGACTAGGAATATTCATTAGAGTTTTTGTTTCATTTTGGGTCAAGGAGTTTGTTCTAATCCTAAATAGAGATCAGATTATCAAACAAATACAGAATAAATAGGTGACTGTATTTTTACTTACCATGCTCTAAGGAATATTCATAGAAATGTGAATGTCTGACTAGTCCATGGCTCTGGGATAGATATATAATTTAGGATACAGAGGGCATTAAGCATTGCAGCTGGGAAAGAAAATGTGTATTTTGTCAACATAAGAATCTCCAACCAGAACACAATTTATGTCCCGTGGATTTAGTGAACTACTTTTAATTTATTATTTAACAGTTTTG